CTCAGCTGACCATGGGGGCAAAATATCTGTGCATGGCTTGAGCACTGCTCAGAGTGTTTGGTGTGGATGGCAGAAAGTTGCATTTCATAAATGACTTTAAGTAGATAAATTACTTGATGGTGCTCTAAGCACTGCTTGAGCTTTCCTACTAGCTCACACAATGCACAACCAGCAGATCCTCTCTCTCTGTCCCTGTCCTGTTGTGCCATGTTTGATAGTCAAGTGTTTCACTGATACGTTTGGGCTTCTGCCTGGAAAAAATACATCCCTGGCATCCACCCAAGACCTATTTATAGCAGGAGCTCCTAGAAGACAGTGTGACAACTTCAGAAAACAAGGAATTGCAAAATCATCCTGCAGTGAGCAGCAAATGAACCCCTGGCCACACACACCCGTGGGAGCCACGCGTGCCCAGAGCCCCAAACCCTGCTGAGGATTGGTACCGGGTGACCTCACGAAGGAAATGCTGAGAAGAATCAACAAGGACAGCTTAAGATTCCTGCAGAAAATGCCATGCCATGAGCCCATGAGGTTTTTGTTCTTCTGTCAAGTCCCATGGAAACAAACCCTGAGGACACAATGAGCTGGCTCTCCAGTGACACGGCACACACGGTGTCTGCAAAATCACCTGCACTGCAGAAATACTGATCTCTCCAGCCCCCAAGCTGCTCTTGGCTTTGCTGCACACCTTAAAAAAAGGATGTTCTGAAGAAGGCACCACCTCTGCAGTGTGACCAGGGACAGGTACCTGCACAGCTTGTTCCAATCGGGTAGATGCAATTTTTGCATTGAAAGTTGTTTCCCCTTTCATAACTCCCCAAGAGCAGATGTTTATTCTGCCCTCTCAGGAGCAGGTGGCCCTGCAGGACCATCCAGGCTTTTCTTGCCTCTGTCTTTCTGGCCATTGCAAAGGGGGTGACCTTGACCCTCCTTGGCTGAAGGGAGTTCAATGTATGATTGAGCACTGAGCCCAAATCCATGAAAAACAACAACAACGACAACAACAGAACCCCAAGGCAGAAATTACCCAACTTCCGTGTGGAGCAGAGTGTCCTGTCCAGTGTATCATCCTGCCTCCTTCCTCATCCTTCTCTGTAAACACCATTTACGTGTGGGTTTATACAATCCATGTGTTCCCTGCAGTTCTGGGATCCCTTCACTTGTTCCACCCACTGGACTAGTTGTAACAGGTACTAAATTATGGGGGTTTTGTTGCTTGCTTATTTTACACACCTGCAGTTTCCTGGTTTATATGTCCAGAGGTTTTAGCCTTTAATTTAATATTATTCATAGATTTTATTGAGTATTAGTTCACTTTGTAAAGCACCTTAATGGGCAGTGTCTGTTTAATTATATATGGCAAAACCTATAGAAACAAAGGAGAATTGACCCAATTTGTTACAGCTGGTTTACAAAGATTCCCTGAGGTGATTGAGCATTGCTTTTCCTTTTTACTGTACTCCACACATTTCCAAACTCGTGTCAGCTCAGTTCTCATCCAGCCTCTCCCTCTGAAGCAGCCTCAGCGTGGCTGCTCCTCCTCCCTGCAGCCCCAAGCCCAAACCCAACATTTGTCAGCTGGCTGAGGCAGGAGGAAGGAGATGACACACTTCTGTGGGTTGTTTTTTCCTGCTGCTACTGGAAACATGCAAAATTCTGATCACATCTATAGTGGAGATGAGATCAAGAAGAATTTTTCTACAAGTAAACCACGACTAAATGTCTCTGTATTGGTTAAAGTGCCCTCTTTATGCAGTAGGAGCTGCCACAGGCGCTGGGATGGGGTGTGCCCTTGTGGAGGTGCTCAGCACAGGCTGGCAGGGTGGTGTGTGAGCTGCAACTCTGGTTTGTGTTGCTGGAATCTGTTGGAGCATCAGCTCCTGGATGCAGCATTAATTAAACAGAATGGCCCTGCTCCAGGCCCCCGGTGGACAGGCATCCACATGGCAACTGTGAGCCTTGTCAGCAGCAAGAGATTAAGGAATTAATTGGCAGGGTTAATCTTCATGTCAGGGTTGGAAATGAATTGTTAATTTGTTTGGATGAGTGTAGAGTCCTCTCGCAGTGATGGCAGGTGGGATCACATGAAGGAAAGCCTGCAAACTGCCCTTCCTGGGGACCTCTATTTCACACCTCTGCTAACAGACATCTCCAGCTCTGTGCCCCCGACGTGTGAGACTCCCAGGTGGGGCTGGAGCAGCTCCTCGTGTCACTGCCATCCTTGCAGGTGACAGCACAGCTGCTCCAGCCCGGGATGTGGGAGAAGGTCTGGCTGCAGCTTGGGAGGGATCCCTGAATTCCAGCCTTTCTGATCTTGCTCCTGGTGCTAAGCTGTTGTCTGTTCCTTGTGTCTGTGCATGGCAGGTACTGGATTGATGGATGAGGCCACCTGCTCCAGGATCCGAGTGAGGGAGAGTTGTGCTCACACCAAAATGCCACTTTTGGGGCACAGAGTGCAGAATTGACTGGACTATGTGGACACAAACCCTCTCAGATACTTCTCTTCTCCTCCAGGACACTGCAGAAAGAGAATCTGTCAGGTCAGTCAATGCTTTTCCCTTTCTGCTTTCATTTTACACTCAGGATAGCAAAATATTTCCTTTAGTATCATTTTAATTTCTTAAGGCTACTGAATTGTTCACATCACATCAAGACATAGGAGAAAAGCACTTCAGGCCTTAATAGATTTAAATGAAATTCTAACTTTTGTCACTTGTACTCTCTTTTGTGCATTGATTAGTCTAATTAGTTCAGCAATAAGAATCACTTTCTCCTCCTGCTGGGGTCTGATAATGTTGTGACCAACACAACCTGATTCTAGACATTACATCAAACAGGACTGGCCTATACAGAGAACTGGAATCTTTCTGGGTGTGCAACAACCCTCTTTAAGACCTTGCAGTCAAAATCTTGCTTCTGTTCTCATCTCTATCAATGCCCAGTGCCTCATTTATGGGGAGGCTGATGCTGTTCCAGTGCTGTAAAAAACAGATTTTCATTGCCAGAAATCGGCTGGGTTTAGCCTACCTGCTCCAACTTTCACCCTGTCTTTAATTTTTCTCCTCACCTTACAGGCAGCCAGGTGGCTGAATGTCAGCCAAAACTAAGAAGGATCTCCTTTCTTTTGAAGGGATGGGTGTTTGGAGATTTATCAGCAGCACAGCTGAATCTGTAGCTAAGAAGGACCACGGCACGTTTCTGGCATGAACAGCCACTCCAGTCAACTCCCACCTGAGTTACCATTTTCTATTCCACATAAAACCACCCTTCAGTCTTTTGACTTAAAATTATTATTAGTAATTTGTCCTAAAATGTCAATAATGCAGTGATATTCTAGCAGAGCTTTTCTGTACTGTCATTTCCTATTAATTGCTTAGAAATAACGACAACATAATCTGGAACAAGACTGTCACCTTGTCTATGCCATATATAAAATGTTAATACTGAAAGTGGACTGGGTTCATCCTAGACCTAATTAGTTCTTTGGAGAATTTACTTTGTGCAGCAGCCTGGACTGTCCATATTGATGCTAACATATTATATAATCAGCTTTGGAACAGGCAGCAGTCTGAAGGCTGGGCTCTGTGTCCCTGTGCTAAGTCCCTACCCTGAGGAGAGCACTGAAAATCAGCAGAATTTGACTAGAAAATAGAATACAAATGACTGGGTATTGTAAGGAGTTGCAGAACAACTGATTATCTCCAAATCAACATTGTTTGCAAACTGTGCTCTCCCAACATGTTTTTATTGCTATATATATAGCAGAGATTTTACAAACTGAGTTAGATGTTCCCTTTTGCTGTCCAAAGTGGGTGGTGAAGTCGTGGAACGTGCTATTTTGATAATTTGGAACATGCCCCAGGAGCTGATTAAATGATCTCTCTTGCTCTGTGTGTTTCCATGCAAGCATCAGAAGGGTCAGGGCTGCAAACATGAGCCTGCAGGAGCTGCTCTATCTCTGCCTGGCTTTTTACTACCTGTTTAAACACCACACAGATTTTAATAGACAGTTACAGCTTGTCAACTGAAATACTCCCCTATAAAAGCAAACAGTGGCTGAAGTGGAATTGCTACTGTGAACTTAATGGTAAGACATTTAACTATCATTTAGTGAGAGAGCTTTTGAAAAAAATCTAAGACCAGTATTTGAGGTTTTGAATTTTCCTTTTCACGAATCATGACTCCTCTGGTGGTTCTGGTGCCTGAATAGGCCCAAGAAATTCCTCCCTGGCACAAGGTGCCCGGAGAAGCTGTGGCTGCCCCTGGATCCCTGGCAGTGCCCAAGGCCAGGCTGGAAAGGCTTGGAGCAATCTGGAGCTTTGGAAGGTGTCTCTGGCCATGGCAGGGGTGGGATGGGATGGGCTTTAAGGCTCCTTTCCAATCTAAACCATTCTGTGATTCCACAATCCTGAACAGCATCTTCACCTTGACTTTCCACAAAGAAATCTGCCATCTTCCCTCAAAAATGGAAACAGGAAAAAGAAATCAACTGTCTGCTGTTGTTCCTCAAACCCTTGGGAGCCAGGACCCTGATGGATTCATCACCTCACTCCTGGCTCAGGTGAGCATGGGGCAGGCACAGTTTGTCACCTCTTTCCCCACAGCAGCAGGGTCTCTGCTTCAGTCACTCTGCTCTCTGGTTCTAAGGCTGCTCTGATGTATTTATCTTTAGTTTGTTGCTCTAATCTTGTCGACAGGAAACAATGAAATAACCTCTAAGATTAATATGAGAGATGAGAGATCCAATTAGAGCTCACATCCTTCAATCCTTACGGGTAAGAGCCCCTATTACACAATAACTATGGGTGGGAGGAGGCCCTGTTTGATCAATTTGTTCCAGTTCTTGGTTATGAATAGTTCAGAGAACTAAAACAGTGACAGATGAAGGCATAATTTCCAGATCAGAAAAGAATTAGAGATCTGTAGGGTAGAATACAGGTATTTCTTGTACATAGCACCAAACCAGAGATGAACAGCACAATGTAGATTTGACACTTTTATTAACAAAGAACCCATGGGGCTCATTCATTAGTACAAAATACAATCATGTTCCTGTATGTTAAACAGCTTTTTTTATTTTGTCTCTTTTAAACTGTTTCACAGTTATCAAAACAAAGCCCCTGCATATTGAACTTATTATTGTGCAAACAGTAATTATTTTTAAGGATCAATTTCTGCACTAAGCCAAGTGCCAGAGAGCAGAACTTAATCATGTTTTCACCCCTCCTTTGAAGGGCCATGTGTGCTTCCTAAGAAACACTTAATAGTTGACTTTTTTTGCAGCAAACAATCTAAGGCCACAGTTTATCTGCAAAGAATAGAAAACAACTCAAAGATTTCAGAAAAAAAAAAAAAGCACACCTTTACCCTTCATACTGCCGTTTGCTTGACCATGATTATGCCAAGTAGCACACATCACCTATCAGGTATTACAGTCCAAAAAGCACCTAATGTTCTTTAAGCTAATATTTTGAATTATTACCATGCAAGTTATTACACAACCAAATTACTTTTCAAGTAACTATAATGGTATCTGTTTAAGGAAAAGATGCTTGTTCCCTTTCCAAATAATGTGAATGAAAATCCTGCATTGATTGTATGGGCAGGCCCTCACTTAAAGAAAAAGGCATGAGAGCTACACCTTGAGACTTAAATAATCATTTTTAGCATGTCCTTCCTAAACCATGCACTCAAATTTTGGTTAAAGCTGCATTTGCTATAGAAAACAATACTAAATATTGCAAATGAAAGGAGTAACTGCAGTTTGGAAATGTCAATCTCCACCAGTCTGTCTTTCACACTGATGCAAAAGGGATTTGAGGTGAAGTGCTAGAAATTAGACAATGTAAGGAAGTTAAACTAAAAGAAGACTAAAAATATATATCCGTGTATGTCTGTAGAAAAATCCCTGTTTAAGTGAAGACAGATTTCATAAAAAACCACTCAGACCTTATTTAAACTGCAGTTATTGATGGAATGAAGAAAACTGAATTGCTATTTTTGTAATTATCAGAAAGTACACTGTTTTACCACATGAAGCACCGGGTTTTAACCCCAAAACCTTCTGTAAGACATATGGAGTGTTTCTAGTAGTCCAAAATCCCCTGTGTTTCAGACAGGACTGTAAACGTGCATGTTGACAATGCTGTTTTCTGCTCCTGAAAGTGCTCTGTTGGTGATTGTTTACTGTTCCCAATTGATGGCTGGCAGGAAGCAAACATTCTACTTTTAAATGAAGGCAGCAGAAGGGCAAGTAAATGCTGTGCCTTCACTCTTAGCAGCAACAAACTCTCACTGTTCTAAATGACCTGAGGAAGAAAACATTAAAATATTGCACCAAAACAAAATTAACCGGCAAAAACAAACAATGAAACACACCAACAAATATAGTATGGATAGCAAATGACCAGTGCAGCCCCTGACAATAGATCTTTAGACAAAAATGCAGGAGTAATGAAAAGCTTTGTGCCATTACCAGAGGACTTTATTCCCCTGATGTCTGCTTTCACTTCAGTTATAAGCTATGTCTATTCTGGGTATATTTACACCTCTTATCTCATTCACTAACCACAGAAACCATTTAGGGTCCCTTTTAGAACCTTGAAGTATACTGGAGCTGTAACAAGACTTTTTTTGGTCTCAAATCTGACCGTAAGTAAATATCCAAAACAGAGGTAGGCTTATAAAGGCTTTTGAATAAATAAATATTGTCCTTTTTGCTAAATATACCTGCTGCTGGCAAAAGGTTTCTCCCTTGCCATGCTTCCCCTTATCATGCTATCCATAGGCTTAAGATGCAGAAGAAGAACTCACAGTAGAAGAGGTTAGAATAATTCCCTTAAGAAATCCCTTGAAAGAAAGCATAGTGCATAAGCTCATCTCAAAGTTTACTGTTTGTTCCACACTTGTGTCTTGCACTCAGGAAATGGTTGCCTTTGCAGTATTGTGTAATAGCCATTCTGTCATCCACGGTGTCCTCAGGATCATGATTAATGAGGAAATAGTACCACTTGGCAGTCGTGAGAAGGGCAGCTTCCCAGCCAATGTGACGGTAAGACTTCGCTCTGTGATGCAGCAGTGTTCCTGCTCTGGATGCAGACAGTGCCAAGCTGAAGCCCCTTGACCGCTGGAATCTTTTGGAAATGTTTTCTTACCCGACATTCTGTTCTACTACAGGAGCTCTTGACATTGCTATGTACATTCTTCCAGAGTGTTGCAAACAAAGTAGAAATTCTTTTCTCTTCAGAAGATCCACACATCTCCTGCTCGTACTTTGTGTAGTGTATCCACTTTTTGGAAAACATTCAGTATTTCATTGATGCATTTTCTTTTCAGTATTTTCAGGTAATTCTCAAGTATCCCAAGCTCAGCTGCTCCCCTGTTATCCTCTGTGCAGACTAATCCAGCAGGTTCTCTTTTATCACCAAACGTGCTCATACCTCCTTCTTCATCTTCCTTTGCCTTTCTCATACACAGACTGAAGTTTGGAAAAAGAAAACTGTTTCCTTTTTAGCTGCACTACCAGCTTAAGCAGCAGAAACATTAAGACATTCATCACAATGATGCTCATTACAAATCCTCAGAGCATGAATGAAACGGGCTGAACTTCTTCTACATCAGTTGGATGTGGATCAATCTAAGGAGAGAAGAAAGACAACAATTACTGCCTGCAATTCCTGCATTTGGGTATGTGTTTGGGTTTTTTCTGCCATCTGACAATAAAAACACCACCTGCTATTTATTTTCTTACCTCTGAATAAAGAGGTGGAGGCTGAAACCGGAACTCTTGTATGTAAGCAAAGACAGGACAACACAACTGTTCCTCACAGTCAATGGGAGGTGGATAAGCAGGAACATGTCTGGAAAACTCTTCCTCAGACACTACATCAGCATAATTTGGTGGTGCTGAAACACAAGAGATGCTTCTGTTATATTTCAAACTATTCACTCACTCACAGCAAGAACATCTGCATTACAGTATATCCAGGACCACAAAAACTGTGTTGGAAGTGCACTGAACACATAAATACTGTAACTAAAATTATGTTTTCAGTAAACTCAGGTGATTCAGCAGGAATACAGAGAGTGCTGTGCTTTTAGGATAACTCCAGCAGCAAACTTGTGTTGTATCAAAATATATTCAGTAATGAGTAGAATATTCCCACTATCAGAAGTTTGTTGTTTCAGTCAGGTGGGGTACAGAGAGACTTCAGGAAGGCTGGAGTTGGGGTAACCTCACCAATCATTTTGGATCTCAGTTTAAGAACTTTGTGAGTCAGATTTCCATTGCCTACATCCCTGGCAGTGCCCTTAAACTGGCACTGCACCCATCTGCTGCAGACAGTGCTGTGCTGGAGTAGAGACAGTTCAATATGTATTTATTACCTTCAGGCTGTTCAGGCATGGTCAATGCCAGCCAACTCATATCCATACTAAACTGGCTGGTAATGCTGGAGTTTCTGCTTGAAAATCCAATACATGGAATAGTGCCAATCACCACAGGCATTTCAATCATCAATTTCTTAGCACCAGGAATATGGATATACACCTATGTGACAACCCCCAAACAGAAGAAAAAAACATCATGAGACCCCATTGAATGCTGCTCTTAAAAGCTGCCCTACTCCCTACACTGCAAATTTAAAAATTAAGAGCTTTGTCATCCCAGATATGCTTAGCTAATACCCTGGCAGCTTTCCTTATTTTTCAGCAGTTTCATTCTTTCTGTAACTTGTTTCTAAATGACATTAAAAAGTAAAAACCATCTTGACAAACGTAATTATGCACTTGACTTACAGTCTTATCTTCCCATTTCTGGAAAGAATCACTTAAGGACCCATTCAGCTTGAAATGCTTTCCCAAAACAATTCCTGCATGTCTGAAACTAAGCTGCTTCTTCCTCAGAAACAGTTTTCCCTTTTCCACATTATTCCCACCTTTCCATCTCAGAACCTCTTTATGACCTTCAGCCTCTCATGTATGTGGTTTGTGATATTTATTTTTTGTAGAGTCATAGAATGGTTTGGGTTAGAAGGGATCTTAAAGATCATCTAGATCTAACCCCCCACCAGGGGCTGGGACACCTTTCTCTAGATTTGTATTTATTGTAGCTCCCAAGTTAAAAACCTAACAGCTACTCAGCGAATTCTTCTGTTCCCAATTGAATGCAATATCTAAAGTTTGTACATTTCAAAACCCAATACTTACAGCTAATGAATATTCTACTCTAATAATGCAGCAGTCAAGTATAGATGGGGATACAGGTGGGATTTTCAGAGTTTTCCCATTCCAGGTATCTGTACTCCCAGAGGCAATGTGGTTTCCTCGGACATTGGCAACCATCTGACGGAAGGTTTTTGTCTTCCCACTGGCCAGGTAAGTTTGTGTTTGGAAAATGGCAGCTTTTGGAACAATCAAACGAGAAGAGCAGTTCTCAATTTCTGCATAGATTGGGATGGCTTCCCCTTAGAGACAGAAAAAGTCCAATGAATAATTGGTATTTACCAACTTTCCTCTGGGAGTATCAAAGCAAGTTACACAGCACGTACATCATCTGCAGTGTTATGAGAACAATACTTGGTAAGTTTCCTCAAGCCAGTTTATTTTTTTCAGAGTGGTATCCAGGCAAAATTATAGCCACCCACTATGTTTCACACATAAACAATGATTCATTTTGAAACATTAAGCACAATATGAACAAGCTATAAAAGCTTTATTTGCAAATTACGCCCAAATCTTCCTTTTATATAGTAATAAATGAATTTCAGGATGTTTTATTTTCTCAATGTATCTCATCTTATCAAGATGAAGAAGAAGCTGCTAAAGCTCATTCTTACCAAAGTGTAAACCTACACAAATAGGATGTAAAAATCTAATTACATCCCAGTTAAGTATTTTATCCCAGATAAAAACATTTTGTTGTTCTTTACACACAAATGTACATTGATTTTCCATAAGATTATTAACAGGACTTCCTTTCAATTTATATCCCCAAGGGGAAAGGTAAGATGATTTTTGAAAAAATTGAATTCATATGGATCTTAATTTACTTCTATTAAACAGAACTATTCTTTGAACTTCAAAGTGTTGGCTTCACTGAGATGAAAAAAATCCCAACCTATTAGATGTTTAGTATTTACATTTTTAAGGTAACTACTCTTACCATTACAGTATCCCTTCCTCTCAATTTTGGCACTGAGAGACACTGGCCCAGAGGTGAAAAACCAACAGCCAACCATCTTCTCCTGACTTCTTAGAACAGGTGTCTATAAAATATAGAGTATTTTTCATTTTATGGGATAAAGCTCTCAATCACTTGCAGTTTAGTGTTATGCATATCAGTCATTGCAACCCAGCTCTAAAATCCACATGATCTGAATCCCTGAACTGCTCAGTGCAACTGTAGTTTTTGCCACCATGTGAAATGGAATCAAGGTGTGGCAATCTGAACATTTCTCTTTTGAAATCCCAGTCTGTATTTAGACTGTACAAAGTAACACAGACCAGTGTGTCTCTGCATGTGCTTTGTCTTCAAAATGAACTTTTCAAAGGTCTCATGTTTATCTCCATGTTTCTCAGTGCAGAAGAATGCAGAATTAATTTATCTGCAAACAGCTAACAGTTAAGCAGGGAATTTTTTTACTTTTCTATCTCTAAGGAAGGATAAATACATGTAGACACTGGGCTAAGGGGATGCACCTTCATTACTTGCAAGCCACAAAACCCCCCCAAAAATGCAGAGGCATGACAAAAAACATCTAATTATTCAAGGACTGTCCCACTGGATGGCATTTACACTGCCTCTAACGTTTTCATTAGAATAAACTCACAAGCACACATGTCAAGTGTCCAGGCCAGGATCAAAGCTGTTCAAAATGATTTACTGGGCAGTGACAGTCAGTCAATACAATAATGCAAATTGGTTTTGTATTTTCTTTATTATAATGAAAAAACCCTCTTGGTTTTGCACTTTTGGTGGTAGCCTTGGAATCCATTAAGATTGGCACTGCCATCCTGATGTGTCTTCTGTGCAATAACCTATGGTCTGCTTTGTCCTTACAGAATGTGGGTATGATGCCTTCAAACTCCTCACTAATGAATATAAAGACTATTCTGCTTACAGATGTCACTGCCAAAATACCCCAAGTTCTGCCTAGAATGGATTAAAATGTAAGCATGTAATGAGGGGGAAAAAAGCCTGCTCAAAACATCTCTTTTCTATGTTCACGTCATGATGTTAAAATTATCCTACCATTTTAAATAAAATAGAAATGACTCATTCATATTTAAATGAATAACCATTTAGATCCAGTTGCTATCATGAAAGTGCAAGGTATAATTTTATATTATTTTCATAATATGGGTTGAGATAAAAGAATCCAGCTCATTAGCTTCCATCTTGCCTATTTACTCATTACTTAATGCCTGATCTTTCTTATTACTCTACAGTATTTCCAGTGATTATTAAAACTCAATGCTTTAATGTGGCCAAATCTGTCACAGGGAAATAACTGAAAGGATCTCTGGAGCAGCTGCATGCACACACTTCATGGTAGAAAACGACATGCAAAATGCAGGGATATGTAACATAATGGCCAGAGCCTAAATGACAGGCTGGGCATGATTAACACTCTTCCCTAATTACTGCTCCTCAACCTACTATTATTGTAGAGTTTAGGACACTGCAGCCCTGTGAATGTAGTTGCTCTGGTAAGAGTAACTACTCTGCACACACACATTACTATTATTAAGCCTTATTTATGCATCTGAAGCCTGCCTAACTTTTTGGCAGGAGCATCTCTGCCAGCAGGGATGTAATCAATGGTATTAAAAAAGCCACTCTGTTTGCTATTCACACAACCTAAGATAATCTATTTATAGTGAAAAGCTTAGGGAGCTTATATGCTTTCAGAAATCAGAAAATGATGCTCTGGAATAACATGGGAAGGGTTATGACTGGATGTGAATGCTGCTTGGGAATGGTTTATTTATTTGCAGCTGGTTTTATAGTAGGGGGGAGGAGAAGCAGGGGACCCTCTTACCAGGAGAGCTGGTGAGCTGACATCGATATGGCTGATGACCTGCAGCTCTGTCTGCACGCTCTGGTCAGGCACAGCAGGCCTCTCCAGCACTGCTTTCACATAGTACTGGATACTGCCATACTTCCCAGTAAAGGAGGTCACCAGAGGTCTGAAACGAGCAGTCATAAAACCATTACCTTCAATTAATATTTCAGCTCCAAACATTAACACTTCCTGCATATGTAAACATTTCCCAATTTACAGCTTGTACTTTTAGGGCCTTGGGGAAGCTGAAGCAAACAAGGCCTGTCTGCGTGGTGCTTGATTAAGACAAATATATAAAGCTGATACTAAAAAAAACACAAGTCAAACTACATTAAGTTAATGTTCCACTACAAGCAGCATCCAGCACAATCCCTTCAGGTTGGATTATTGAACTTACTCTTGAGGGAGCTGAAAGCTGAACGGAAATTCGTGTCTTCCATCTAGAAGAATTAAGTTTTCCTCACCTGTAGGATAAGAATGAATAGTATGTTTTAGTTATTCCAGAAATAGAACAAAGCAGACACTTTTATAAATTATTTATGTACGAAAACACCCAGATGCAAGAAGTTTTTATTGATCCCAGTGGGTTCTGGACTGTGGCCCGTACTTTATTTATGCTGTGATGTGATTTCAATGAAAAACAAAAATCAAGGAAACATGGGAGACCTTGAGATTCAGCTCAGGACTGTAGCCAATTTCTAATCCAAAATGGCTTCTCCAAAGCATAAAGTAAATTTCTTTTCAGCAAGACAACAATTAATCTACTTTTCCAATTAACAATTAAACTAACTTCTGTGCCGAAAAATCTGCCATTTAAGGTCAGCACGAAGAAACACTATAAATACACAAGCTCCCAATTTATTCACATAGGGCCTACTGTTACACAATTGACAAGGCCTGAATCTACTTTCCCTACAGATCAGCCTGAGCTGCGTTTCACTCTTACAGAACGAAATGTCGTCGTTCTGCCTTTAATTTTTTTCCAACGCTGCCATAGTGCTGCAGTGTGTGAGTGACAGAGCTCCGCCACAGCGAGCCTCCCCTGCCGCCTTAATCCACTGAGGAGCCCGGCTGCTTTCAGGGTCTTCCACGGCAGCTTCCCTGTCCGGGGCTGCTGCTACCGCACACCCAGCGCGGCGGGGCGAACCCTCCGCACCCACACAGCGCAGGGAATCCAGCTGCGCATTTATTTTATTTTATTCTATTCCAGTCCCGCTCGGCGCTTTTCAGCCCCCACACAGGGAATCATTCGGGAGGCCGCGGGTGAGGCGGTGATCATCCCCGGGCCGAGCGCTGCGGCAGCGCTGTCCTGACGGAGCCCCGCGGCCGCTGCCCGTTCTGTTGGGTTCCTGTGCCCGTTCTGTTGGGCTCCTGCGCCCGTTCCGTCGGGTCCCGGTGCCGGTTTTCACCCGGAGCGTTCAACCCTCCGCCTCCCGCCCCTCACCGCCGGCCGCCTTCCCGCAGCCCTTCCCCGCTCCCGCAGCGCCACTCCCCCGGTGCCACCCCCGCTGCGGGAGCGGCCGGGCCCGCGCCCCCCCTCACCTTCGGGCGGGTCCCGCAGGAGGCTCTGCCGGATGTCCAGGTACCGCACCTCCGCCTCCCGCCGCGGCCCCGGCCCCGGGGCCCGCACCGCCACCCCCCACGTGCCCGCCCCGGGCACCGCGCCGGGGCTCTCGCTCCAAGCGACGCGCGCCCGGCCCGCGGCCTCCAGGCGCAGCCCGCGGAGCGGCAGCGGCCCCGCCAGCTCCAGCAGCACCTGGCCCGACACCGTGTCGCCGCTGCAGTAGCCGCCGCCGCCTCCGCCGCGCCGGGCCTCGTCCTCCAGGACCAGGGCCAGCGTCTTCACCGCGCCGCCGACCCCGGGGCCCGGCCCGGCCGCCGCCATCGCTCCCCGGCCGCGGGGGAACCGCGCCCGCCCTCGCCGAGCGCTTTAAACCCGCCCGTCTCCGCCAGCGCCCGCGGCGCTACGCCCCGCCCCCGCGCGCTGCCCATTGGCCGCCCCGCGGCCTCGCGCGCCGCCATTCGCCGCGGGCCGCCCCTGCGCCCCCGCCTCATTGGTACTCGGCGGGCGCACGCCCGGAGTGCGTCACGCTGCGTGATCGCCTCGCCGGGGCCAATCGCGTGCGGGCGAGAGCGCGTGGACAGCGCGGTGATTGGCGGGGCGGCGGCAGGTCCCCGGCGCGCGGGCCAATGGCGCGGCGCGGCCACCACGTGCACAGCCTGTGGGTAAACAGGGAGCGGGGGCGGGGCCGAGGGCGGGGCCCTCATCCCTCACGCCCCGCCGTGACGGGGCCCCGGGCGGCAGAGGCGGTTCGGGGGTCCCGTCCCTCCTTCGCCCCCTCCTCTGGTCACTGCCCGCCAGCCCGGCGCTGTGGGAAAGCCGTGTGCCCTTGGTGACCCCGAGCTGAGGGGAAACCTTGTGTCTCGGTGTCCCCCGGGTGCTGCCGTGGGAGAGAGGGAGGCACCGCGGCGCTCTGGGGCGGTCTCAGCCTCTCCCGCTGACAGCCGGACTGGCTGGGACTGTTAAATATGGAAAAAGGATGTGGTGCTGCTGTTAAATATGAAAATATGGAAAAACGATGTGGTGCTGCTGCTAAATTTGTAAAAAGGCTGTGGTGATGCTGTTCCCCCACTGCTTTCCTGGAGGTTACTTGCCGTGTGAAGCCCTTTTCCACCCCACTGAAGGGCAGGAGGTGGAGGGGTTTAGCTCTAAGCAAGCCGTCCTGGACAGCGTGAAAACCTCGTGTCCACACAAATATTACGCATTTCTGCATCTTGTAAAGCAAGAAGCGCCCTGGTTCAAGAACTTTCTCTTACAACTCCGCTTGGTACCTGGGCAGCAAAATGGGTGCACCCCTCTGCATGCTGTCCCACTGAGCACATCATCCACTGGTAACACCTGGGAGATAGAACAATGAATAAATGCCAAGTTTTGTTGTTATGTTTACAAGCAGAAGCTTAGGAAACTCCAGCGAACTGGAAGAGTGGTGAATATGTCGGAGTGGCTGGGTGGGCACGGCCAGAATCATCATTTCCACAGTGATGAGGGAATCTGTGCCCACCTCCAGCCAGCCCAAGACATGCTGCAAACTGTGAAAAACACCAATCACTTGTTTTTTGGTTTTTTTTTTAATTTTAAAAGTTTAGTGATAATAAAATGGTTATAAAAATACCAATATAATTAGAGTAATAATTATTTGGTCAATTTGGATTAGGATGATATGAGACAATAGAAACAAAGAGTTACAGATGTCCGGGTACCTTTTTCTGGGCAACATAAGCCCAAAAAAGGACTCAGGTTAACAGGGGATTAACCCTTAAAAACAATAACCTGTTGCATATTCATACACCTCACACATGATGCATAAATTCCATTCAGGTTTCTGTCTGGTCATCATCAACTTCTTCCTCCTATCGTAACTGGTGTCGTCCTGACTGAGCGAAGTGGGAAGAAGTTTGTTTCTTCTGATAAGAGAAGAAAATAAATTTTCTTTCTCTGAAAGATTTAGGTGTCCTGTGGCTGCTATCACGGTGTGATTCCTCTCTTTTAAAAAAAGTATCTTACATAGCATAGTTTCTATCTTAACATTTTGCTATAACCTAAAACTATATTTACTACACTACTTAAGAGAATTATTACAGCATCACTTTCCAACATAACACATACTATATTCATTCTAATATTTGCGAAAAGCCAATCATAAAATACGCATTTTTCACAAAACCAAAATGCTTCGATTCTGCTGGACACATACTGCAATTAAAGCTGTTCTTGGCCTCGTGGTGTTTCACGGTGGCCCAAGCTGGCAGCAGAGCATCTCCCAGGGGGTGTGTGGGGTGGGTGGTGTGCCGCCTTTTCCACGGGTGACCGAGGAGTCATTTCCTGCTCCGTCACCTGCCTGCTCCAAGCTCCTGACAGCTGCATCTTCCTGCATTCCTCCATCCCTCTGGGGCGCTGCAAAACACCCGCCTGGTGCTTCCCAGCTGACTCAGTTAATTACTGAAATTAGCAAAACTTGGCCTTGGCCATTGGCTTTTAAATAAATAGCCAATGAGCTCAATCTGGGTTTTCTCAGGACCTTGTGAAATGTAGCCTCGTATTGAGAGTTCCTTCTGTGAAAAACTTGCCAAGAGCCAGGTAGGCCTTTGGAACACTTTTTTTTGGCTACAGGTTCATGCACACATCTATGTTAATCAATAGTGACCTGGGGAAAAGGAATGTGCTTACTTATGGGGTGAAGTCATGGGCATTATTTCAACCTTTGCCATGCATTGTCCAGCTCATGATGAAAATTATGTAAAGAAAATGACTCTGTTATGATGATGGTTGTTTGAGTATCTAAAGAATTGCTGCCTGTTTGCATCCTATTGTGCATGTGAAATAATTCTTTACAGAAACTGCAAATCTTACATTGTACTTGGGAATTGTGGTGTAGAAAATTGTGCTATTTTGGTGGGTTTTTAAGTACAATTAAACTCAGACATGGCTAGCTTTGCATCAATCTTTTCCTTATATGCAATTTTCACATTTACAAGTATCAGGCTATTTTTGTAGTCAGCCAAGGGACCATGCTTGGAAGTGCAGACTGAATACTTGCTTATTTGATGAATTTCCTTAGGTACAATATGTGTGTGTGCAGACTGATTTTGAGAGTATGATGCAGAGGGAAAAAAAAGAAAATCCCACAACTCCCTTTTCCCTGCATGAATTAGATCCTGTATAAAAGTAATTAATTCTCTTATGGGTTTATGCGACCATTCAAACATTGCCTCCCTTTCATTCTTTGCAAGTGCAAATGAGCTAGATAGGGAAATGAATAAACATGGCAAATTGCTTATGAAACAAAACATTACCCAGAATTAGAGAGAGCTGGGAGGCTTCAGTAACTCCAGCAATTAGCCTGCAGAGGACACAGTTAATAGGCACATTCTG